TTGAAGCAGAACTATCTAGAATGGTAAAGCTGTTTTTATACCCACCTGGATACAAGGAGAATATTTCTCTGGGGAAGGATTCTATTCACCCATGAGAAACATTTGCCTGCATATCTTGCTCATTTCCTTAGGGAAGCCTCAACACTGAGTATGTTAACAGGGTTGGCAGGTAGACAGTGCACACTGCATGGAGGCATGAGGAGAAAGGCCTGTTGCTATTCTTTTGCCAACAATATTGCCAACAAAAGTGCTCCTCACCTATATACCATGGAATATTACTCAGCATTCAAAAAAGATAAACACATGCAATTTGCAGCAACATGGATGGAGCTGGGAGGGATCATGCTCAGTGAAATAAGCCAGAAAGAAAAAGAAAAATACCGGATGGTCTCACTCATAGCAGGAATCTAGAAAACCTAATTAAGGGACCAGGAAAAAGTATAACTATAAGAAAGAAAAAATCAAAATCAACAAACAACTATGAACCAGAGACACACTATGGGGTTGGGCGGTGGGGAAAGGAGGGATTGGGGTCAAAATAAAGGGGTTGCAATTGTATGGGGAATATAAAAATAAAATTTAAAAAAATTAAAAAAATTAAAAATAAAAAAATAAAAGTGCTCCTCACAGACCAGTCCCAAACTAGCAGTCTTGCTGCCATGTTTTCTTCAGCAGCTGCAAGAAAAGATTCCCGTTCTGACCACTTCCTGTTCTGGGTATCAACTCATTGGCTGCTTTGCCTGACCTCCAAGACCTTTGATAAAGTACTGCTTTCCTTAATTCAGAAGTTGCATGACAAACTCAAATGGAAACAAAAGGGGACTAAGGAGGAGGCATGGTAAAGGTAGGATTTGGTTTGTTTTTCTCCAGCAATGAAGATATAAAAGCAATGTTTCCAGTTCACTGAGACTAAGTGCCCACATGAGTAGTACACATGAGAGTGAAAATATGAGAACAAAGGGTTAAAAACTTGGCAATGAAGCACCACTGGGAGAGATAGAGTGTGCATTTGGTGGGGGAGGGAGGCTAAAGGTAAGCTACCAGCAATCAGAGTTAAAGGGCTCTCATCCGGAGGACAGTGGCCAGGCTGTTCTCCATTCCCTCTGAGGATCTGATCAAAAGAATTGGCCTTAAGTTGCAGCAGAAAAAGTTTCAAAGAAGACATAACAAATGACTTATTGATGGTGAAAGATTTTAAGTTAATGACAAAAAATGGTAGACTCTCCTCTAGAATTCTTTCAAAGCAATACAGATAACCATTTGACATGTATGGCCTGGGTGAGCTTCCCGCCTCGTATATGTTGAAGTGACCTCTCTCGACCCATGATCTGGTTTTAGAACAACTGCCTCATCTCTAAAGATTGGTGAATATTAATAGTCTTTAGTAAGGACAGTAAGTTCAGACCAGACTTCTACCTTGGTTATTCAGACCAGTGCTTCTACCTTGGTTATTTCGACTTTTTGGTAACACTCACTGCATCCCATACAACCACTCTTAGAAACAGGCAGATGGAAGACAGGGTGAAAGATCGAGATGCTAAGGAATGAGGGACTATGAAACATGGAAAGAGAGAGGGACGACAGCAATCATATTGATCCAGGTTGAATTCTTGGTTTTGGAACTTCAGTGTGGCTGTGTGGCTAGACATCCCATGACAGGAAACAAAGTTATTGCATACATGAAATATACTAGATAGAAAGAAATATAACATTTATGTGATTTCTATTTATGTGAATGCAAAGAGAGTTAGCCAGTTCCTTGGATTGAACTTGGTTTGTTTTGGAGGGCTGACGGGAAGAGAGGTTACTCTATTGCAGGCAATGAAACGGAAAGAATTTGCTAGAATCCAATCCCTGTCCAGCATGTGTGAACCTGTAGCATTGTTCATGCGCAGGCACCACATGCCTCATTGACTCCCTAGCCAACTGCAGGAGCAGCTGGGCTGGGACTTATTGTGTGCTCAGAAAATATCAAGCAATTGGATCTCTAGGATTTCTTTCTTGTTGGCATAAGGTGAAGCCTATGATTCAGAAGGTTTACACCCAAAGTGTATAGGCTTCATTTCCCCAATGTTTAACTCCATGCTAATTTTTGCTTTCTATGATTGAATCCTTGAGAGAAAGATCATTACAGAATTATCTGTGGCAGTGATTCTCAACCTGCTGGTTGTGGATGGTGCTAGCTCACCATACTTTGAGTCCTAAATAGCATGAAAACTCATTCAAATTTGGGACTTTTCCAGTTTTATCATTGAAAATCCCACATTCCAGTAAACCTCTCAGTCCCAGGTCAACTGGCACAGTTGGTCATCATGGGCCCACAGGAAATAAGCACAGTGAGTTTTTCCTGAAGCTGAAAGTACTCGATTTAAATTCTGAAGGCCAATGAGTTTTTCAAAAGCAAAATATATTTAATTTCATCTGAATTCTGTGATTCCATGTTCCTACAACTTGACTTCAAACTGTTATTTAAAAAATGAATTTATGGGGACACTTGTCAGTGGTAGTGTTTTTTAGCAGACTGATCTGTCACAGATGATGAGCACCTGATGGCAGAACCTCTCCCAAACTTCTACGATAAAGCCTAAGCACTCATTGATACAGACCCTTTGTCTGCCTTAAGTTGTTTGCCCTCTGGTTGTCATACTGGAACCTTTGACCTCCAGGTCTCGAAGCTCTTAGGTGATATCTGTCATCTGAGGACAATTGCTGAACTTAAAACAATGAATGCTCTTGTTCTTCTGGTTATGCACTTTTGGAGAAAGTGGACGTCTTCCTTCCTTCACTGTCTTTCCCTCTAATTCCTTCCCCATCCTTAAATATATTCTGAAATCTTGGAAAGGAAATCATGGAAGCTTCTGTTATACTTACTGGGGTAGTGAGGGAGAATATGGGGGAAGGTTGCAGATGAAGGAAAAGTGGGAAGCAACAGGCCTGCCATTGAATCAGTGTGTGATCTTGGGCAACTCACTTCGTTTTTAGACCCTCAATGTCTTCATTTGAAAGCCCGGGACAATGTCTTTCTTACCAGCCTCTCTGGGAAGCGTGTTGGGCAGAGCACAGCAAATAATGGATCAGAAAGGGATTATGATGATGCAGCCTGCAGCTCTTTATCAGCTTCTTTCCTCTCATCCTCTGGCCTGGGCTTCTTCTCCAGGAAGTGAGTCCATCACAGAAAAGCTGCTTGCACTTTTCATAATCTTACAAACTTTAATATAAGAAGCAGAGGCATTACCTCATTGCAGCCAAGCGTACCTGCTTTCTAACAGCAATTACTCAAAACTAGTTCTACTTCTCCTCCTGTTGGCTTTCAATCCCTCATCACATCTTTCTTTCATTCCCCCTACTCTCAGGCACAAAGCCTTATTCCCAGGAGCCCAGCTCAGGGCACTTTCTTCCCAAGCCCTAACATTCCAAAGAAAGCACCTGCAATTTATGATCTCTGCTCCCTTCCTGCACAAAGCACATAGCACGCAATACAAATGAATCAAGAGGGGAATTGTGGCAGAGAGAAAAAAGAGCATTGTTTGAAGAATCAAATAACTGGGCTCTGGTCTGGCCAGTGTACCTTACTAGCCCATTACCCTGGGGTAAATCACTTCCTCTCCATATTCCCATCTGCAAAGTGTGCATGTATGTATGTGGGGGTGGAGTGGGAAGGTACGCAGCACCGTGTGGAACACAATTCCTGGTGTAGAGATCTGTAGATCAGGTTTCTGGTTCCGGTGTTGCTGCTTGCTAACTTACTCTGGGCCTTGGGGAAAATCATTTCCCTCTGTACTTGGCCTTACTTCCCAATGTATAAAACAAGAAGGTCGAATTAGGTGATTCATTAAGGTCCCACAAACCTGGAAATTGGATGATTCTATGAAATGGGTTTCATTTAACCACAGTGAGTTGGAGAGCTTCCTCTGTGCCAGGCACTGTTCGATGATGTTGTGAACAGGCTCATGGCTGGGCATTGTCCCTGAGACTCCGATCTCCAAGGACAGCTGCTGCTTGCTCCTGACCGTGTCCCAAATTGGCAATGAGGTAGCCCCGGTACAGCCAGTTCCTGTGCTTCCCTTGCCTGGGGAGCCCTGAGCCTCTCTCCCTTCTCCTGCCACCTGTAACTTTAAGCAATGCTGATGAATCATGGAGAAATTTCTGAAACATATTCCACCATCTGCCTGCTGGAGACATTCACAGTGCTGTCATCAAGCTGCAGTGTGGTCTCTGGCAGCTCTAATCGAGAAACAGGCCAGAAAGCAATGGCAGATTAATGGAGTTGGGAGGGAAGTGGTTGATTTTTGACAGAGGGGTCTGTGAAAGCCATTTGTGAGTTGGGCTGAGGAGACTAGATCTGAAAAGACTCTCATCTTGAATCTGAGATTACTTATTCCAAAAGGCAGCTTGAACGGTCCTTCTGGCTCTATGTTCCCACTGCCAGGCAAGGGTACATGATCCATTGCAGAGAGATGAGGTGCTTTCTTGCCTAAATTCAGTCAAAGAGGAGGAAAGTTTTTTAGTAGTCAGTCTAGAGTTAAATGACACTCTCTGGTTGCAAAATTGCCTCTCATTTTGATTTTGGAAAAACTGACTGAACATCGCTCTCCCAGTGATGGGTATGAGGTGTGAGAGTGGGCGCCCCTCATTTTTTTCTACCCATTTCAACCTGGTTGACATTTCCCAGTAAAAAGCCCATGCTGACGCCATTGGACATCTCACCAGTCAAATGGACACGTCCAGTGACTCCGTGGTGAGCTCTCCTTCCCTTTTCTCCCTTGTAGTAGGGTAAGGCCCTGAGAATTGTCTTCCTTCTTCCTTCATATTTGGAAAACAACTTGATTCCTGGCCCTCTTGAGATACAGCTTCCTCTCGAGCCCCCAGGCCAGCAAGGTTGTTCCACTGGAAGCCTGGGAGCTCTCTGCTAAAAGTCAAGAGTTAAAACTGTTCATTGGGTTTTATATTTGCATTCGTAAGGCCATCATTAATTGAGCTCTACGGTTCTTCCATTACAGCCTAGATACCATGCAATTCTGAATCAAGCAGAAAGAAGGCAAGATGGGAAAAGTGCTGAAAAGCAGAATCCCATAAGGACACAAATGGTTCTCCAGAGAATAATCTTATCCAGAAGCAAGGGCCAAGTGACTCCTCAATGAGTTCCAGGACTGGTCAGCCCGATGAAAAATAGGGTTATGGAGCCTACATGATAACGTTCTGCATTTGGCGCAGTGATCCAACTCATCACCCCATCCCCGCAGAGCAACCTGGGACCATGAGGAGCAGCCTGACCCTGGTGGGGACCCTCTGGGCCTTCCTTTCCCTTGTTACTGCTGTGGCCAGTTCTACCAGCTACTTCTTGCCTTACTGGCTCTTTGGATCCCAGCTGGGGAAGCCAGTGTCATTCAGCACATTCCGGAGGTGCAACTACCCTGTGCGGGGAGAGGGGCACAGTCTGATCATGGTGGAAGAGTGTGGGCGCTATGCCAGCTTCAGTGCCATCCCAAGCCTGGCCTGGCAGATGTGCACAGTGGTGACAGGTGCCGGCTGTGCTCTGTTGCTCCTGGTGGCACTGGCTGCTGTCCTGGGCTGCTGCATGGAGGAGCTCATCTCCAGAATGATGGGACGTTGCATGGGAGCAGCGCAGTTTGTGGGAGGTAAGACTGCGCTTTTGGGATTGGGTAGGTTGGGGTGCTTTGCGAGGGGAGCAGGATATGTTGTCTTATGGGGAAATTTACTCTCACCACATCCCCTTTGTCAAACTCTAAGGCTATGAAGTGGGTGACTCCTTTGAAATGTCTAGTCTGGGATGCCCCAAAGTCCAATCTACAGCAGGGTTTTAATCATTGCAAAATTGGCTATTACGCAGAGTTGATATCTGTTGTTTGAGCTCCCTTTTCATCACTTTCCTCTGCCTGCAGGGTACCCATTTAAGAATATTATCCAGGTATGCCTTCTAGGGGTAACAACACTTCCTCTAGTATCACTGCTCTAAAATCAGCTTGATGTTTAAAAACTGATCTCTGGTAGTTATCTCCAAATACAGTGATCTGATAAACACATATGCTCAGATGCTGATTCCTAACAAGGATTTAAGGCACACATCACACCAAAGACATACATCTCCAATGGTGAAATTCCAGGTAACAGGCTATAGGTGACTGTTTATTTTGCATACATCTAAGTGAGTCCTGTGAGCTTCCATTAACAGTCTATCCAGATTTCTTATGCCCCTGAGCTACCGTCCCTGTCTTGTCCTTCATTCGGTCTCCCTTGAAACTTCATGCAGGAGCCTTGGGGTGCTCAAGTGTGGATGGGCTAGGAACCAGCAACATGTATTAGTGGCAGACTGCAGGAAGGCAATGGGAGCAGTTTAATTTGAGCTATATAAGAAGAAACGCAAGTTTAGACAGACAGGCAAAGATGTGTGTGAATATTTGAGCTATTTTTTACATCTAGATGGGGTACTGGGAGAAAGTGCTAGTAGAACTACTGCTGAAGTGTATTATTGCCATGGAGTTTTAGAATTATTATTTGATTCACTATCATTATTATCTCCATCAGCACCGCCTTGTAGGTGATGGAATCAGGGAGCTTAGATCCTACTTCTGACTCTCACACTAAGTTAGTTGCATTGTAGTTTTGGGCAAAGGACAGTGACCTTTGATGTGTTCACTTCTCTTCTTCCCTTGAATTTGTTTGCTGGCCGGGCAGCCCAGACCAAAATTTTCCTTCTTCTCTCCAATGACTGCTTTCAGCTGTGCTTCGGGGAAGATGGTAGTGATGAGCTCAGAGTTTGGTTCTCAACAGAAGTTGGTTTTTCAGCCCTTGCCACCAGCTGGTATTTAATAGTTCCTGGACCATTTTTGATTATCACTACATGGGGAGGGTGCTACTGACATCCGGTGGGAATAGTCAAGAAATGCTATTAAATATCACATAGAGCACAAGAAGAAAACAACTCGCCACTCCCAACAGCAAAGTATCGAGCCCAAAATGTCATTAATGCCAAGGTTGAGAGATCCTAAGCTAAAGTCTGGTGGTTTCCTGGCCTGATTATGAAAAGTAGCAGGTCATTTTTTGGTCTTGTTGTGCCAGTCTGAGTCTCTCCTTCTCAGACGCATTGTAGAAGTGTTTAATTTTAATTAAGATCCATCCATTCCCTTATCTTTACATTTTCCCATTCTTTAGCTATTAATGGTTTTCTGGATTAGAAAGTACTTACATGCATTTCTTTCCTCTCCTTGAAAACCATGGAAACAAAACCAATTATTAAGGCTTGTCTAAGTCAATGCCTTTATTCCCCTTTGGGGGTTCTGTGGACATCACAAATCAACCTTGGACTTGGCTTACCTTTCACCTGTATTTTTGGGTATGCTGTAGCGAGCTCAGCACTTCCATAGACACATTATTTCAGGAAATGACACCTGGTTGGCAGGAGAAAGGGGTGGTCCTTGCAACTCATATTTATAACCCCAGGACCCAACTGGTACCTGGCACAGAGCAGCTGTTTAGTAACTGTAAAAAGAATGAATGCAGGACTGAGGCATGGTCTACTGTGTGTTGGGATAAGTTGGATATGTGAAACCTGGGGTTGTTCACCACTTTTCCTTTCATTCCCAGACTTTTATTCAAGGGTGTAAGCACCCCATGCTCTCTTCTCTTCAGACTTGAGAGTGATAACTTAGCCCCACTTGCATTTCTAAGAGTTTTCTGTAGAGAGTGTGGAAGGGCTAATTGGGGGATGGTCAGTAGGAAGAGTTCCCATCAGACTCCATGCATTAACTGGCTCCTATTTCCAATTTTTTTTTAATAGAGGCATGTTTTATTTATTTATTTTGTTTGTTTGTTTGTTTTGTTTATACAAGCACTGGGTAAAATCAGAAGCTTGGGAGGGTGAGAGAATTCACCAGAGCCAGAGGGGAGAGCAGAGCAGGCAGACTGACGAAGTACAATGCTGAGGGGAGCAGCGGGCGGCAGGAGAGGTCTGCGCGCCATGTGGGACCCTCCTCCAGTGGCCGGGGAGCAGCCGGGGATCGAACCGGCACCGCAGAGGCCGCGGGCAGCTTCGCAACCCAGCGCTCAACCGCTGCACCACCGGGGAGGCTCCTACTTCCAATTTTGGATTTGACCGAGACTTTCACAAAATGTGTATGGCCCTCCATACGGTGCATTTTTGTAGATTTTACCTCCTAGTTTTATGAACTCAAAGGAAATTTTTGAGATGTGGGTGTCAAATAGGGATGTAGATACTCGCAGATCAAATGAAGAATTTTGGCTGAGTGGCAGATGTCATACAGAGGAAGTGAAAACATGGCTACCAATTTCATCTTATATGATGTTGTCATTCTACATTCCCCAGTGACTTTTGCTCATAGGAACATGAGCAGTGTTCACTTTTAGACGAGGACTTTCTTCCCCCTCTCTCCCCCTCCCTCCTTCCTTCCATTCCTTCTTCCCATCAATGTGAATAATATTTACTATTTGTTGAATTTTCTACAATTTACAAAACACTTTCATTTACATCATTGCATGTAATCGATTTAAAGTAGTGACTATTATGTTCCCAAAAGAATTTGACAAAAGCTCTAGATGAGGTTATTTAAAATTCAAGAATAATGTGCCACTGGACAGTAATCATAGAAAGAGTCACGATCCAGGATGTTCTATACAGCTTATTCCCAGGCAGAGGAGTGACATTGAAGACCAGCTCTCCATTGTTTCCCCATCTGTAACACCAGCCAACTAAGGGTCTTTCCCACCTCCTTTTTAGAAATTGGTGTCTATCAAGGGTATATCAGATGGGAATGAATGAATGGCAAAGACTGCTTGGACAGATACATTTTCTAGGGCAAGTGGCACATGACCATGATCCCATAATCTTCAGTGATCTTGAGTGTGACTCCTCCGAGATATGTTCTGCCAGTTGCAGGAAGCCAAGTCTGAACCGCATTTTGAACTCTATGGGTAAAAGATGAGAGAGAGAGAGAAAGAGAGAGAGAGAGAGAGAGAGAGAGAGAGAGAGAGAGAGAGAGAGAGAGAGAGAGAGAACACAAGAGAAAAATGCAAGAGAGAGCAAGAGAGCTGTGAGGGTTAAGTTTAAGCTTGTTATTTGACCAAGGGGAATTGATTTTGTTGCTCTAAGCGTGGCTGCTTCTCGGCAGCTAGTGCATTAACCGAAATACATCAGAGGGAGGAGCCAATATATTTCAGGTCTGGCTTATCTCTGCCAGACCCCAAACCACTGAAGAGATGGAATATCCATTAAGAACTCCTCCCTCCCCCTGCCTGATTCTTGTTCCCCGGTTTGGCAGCTGCCCGCAGTGATGAGCAGTGGGAAGTGGGAGAGACAGGAAGAAATAAAGAGCTGCTGGCCTGAGTCATACTCAGCAAGGTGACCTGATGGGGCCCTTGGGTCCCATTTGCTCCACCTGCAGCTGATCCAGCTGGACAAGCCTAGAGTCCAGAGAGCCTTCCACTGGGATCTTCATGCCCTGCTCTGACCAGTGAAGGAAACATCTGGTCAGAAGATTATTTCAGCTCTGGGGATGCTGAGGTTTCCAACCAGCTGCCTCCCAGTCCCTGAGAACAAGATCGTTATTCATGTTCCCCTGTGCATACATGTGTGAGATACTTATGAATTATCCTCTATCTTCTGTGATTGCTAAACAAAGAAGAAATAGGTGAGATGTAAATATAAGGAACTTCTTGGCAGGAAAAAGTGTGAGATATTGGATCTGGTTACCTGAGGGAGGCCAAGAAGCTTTCTAGAGCAGGGACTGTGTCAGAATCACCTGGAGTGCTTAAAAAATGTGGACCTTTTAACTCTGTGGGTTACTTTTCTATTTGGATATACTCAGCAACAGGTGGAAGGCTGCGTGTTTTGAAAATTGCCGCCCGTGACTTTCATGGGTACACTCCTTTTCCAAAACCCAAATGAGAACCAATGCCCTGGCCGTTCCATTGTGGCTATTGTTAAGAGGATGGAGTTAGGCCTCAAGACAGGCGCCGATGATGATTTTCTCCATCTAAGGTCCTAATGCTAACATGTTTCTAGCCCACTGGAAGTTGCCACTGTGTAGGGTAAATGGAAGTGATGACGTTCCTCCCATTAGCATCAATGATCAGCACCTGTGGGCTTAAACGCGTGCCTGATGGTGGACCTGGAGTGTGGTGTGGGTGTGTGTGAGTGGGCACGCCTGAGCCTGGAAGCTGAGGATGTAAGGGCGGCAGCAGAGAACAGAGCTGGCCAGCAGAGGACTGGGGCGGCAGAGACCAGCAAATAGAATACGAGAGAATCTAGAGAGCCCAGAAAGAGTGAAGGTTTGCAGCCGCCCTGCCTGCCCTGCACCTGCTTGCCTCACGACAAATGATGTAAAACGGTCACTAAAAGCCTGAAAACGCCACTGAGGGATCCTTCACCCACCTGCCTGATAGAGAACCTGCCCCATGCCTTGCTGGCACTTCTTACTGGAAACAGCATGAACTTGATTCAAGGAAGAAGGGCTGTTTTCAAAAAAACTTTTATCTTCTCTGGAAAGCATGCATTTCCTGGAAACCCCTTCAAAGTCTAGCCAGGCATTATTTATCAATACCATGTTGAGCAAGGATTATAAATGTGACCTTCGGTTTGGAAACTGTTATTCAAAGAAGTTAA